TGTAACTAAGGCGTGAGGATAGGACAGAGAAGAAGGAAAGATCGTGCGCGGTCCGTGGCCCATTTGTTAGGGTACTACTCCGACATTCGCCTGGTGTTGATCGGAGAAACCACTTTGGGGAAATTATTGATCAGTACAGCCGGCCGGTAGGATTTTCTTCAAACATTTATTGAATTTGACCAAGCTGACAAGCTAATGTCAAAAATCCTCTTACATTTGAAATAGTAGGCTTTAACGTTCGAAATCATATTTTCCCCGGCCTGATATTTTAGATCGTGCTTTCTAGCCTTCTTTAGACGTAATAGCTGAACAATTGTGTTACAAATTTACTCTCATAAAGCACTCGCACTTAACTCTTTTTCTTTCTCCTTTTGTGTTTCCTTCTCTAATCATTTTTTGGAAACTATTTCTCCTTACTAAATATTCAGACCATGACGTTTTTTATTTCCAGGTATTTTAAAAGAAGGTGCTGCGCCCTTCAAATCTCTTAAAAAGCTTATCGTTCATTGCTACATCCGATTTGTTCTGTCTGTTTTCCGACACAAGTAAAACTAATTCTAGTTGTAGTTGCATTATAATTGCGCAGGAGTATACAAGGTGCAAAGTTTCTTTTAGCGATGAACAACCGCAGTGATTCACAAGATGGATCTTTGCCCAACCAGCCAATAGCGCGCCCACGCCAGGTCATCCGAGAGCCAACACGTGTCCACATTCCTCACAGCCATCAGCGATTTTCTGAATGGGTTACTATTCTTCGTGTATTTTCCCATCCGGAAGTATTTACACTTCCTAAACTTCGAAATTCCCAATAATTGGCAACTCGTTTAAAGCATTTAATTACATACGCATGAATTATTAATTCATGTTTTCGAGTGAAAGTTTCGTAATAGTTGGGAGAGGGATGTAAAGAGGAAACTTACTAATTGGCAACTACTTATTCGAAGGAGAAAATGTGTACTAAACAATTTGGCGAAATTAAATATCTAACTTTAGAAACAATCACCCATCTTTCTCAAACGATTATTCTTCGAATGAAGTTTCCAAAAGGATTATGATAACTCCATAAATGTCAACATTATTGCATTGCATTGAGATCATCACTGGGAAGTGGGAAGCTAAAGGTTGAGTTAGGGCCTGGGTCCAATTCTATAACTGTGCCCTGATCGTAATAATGCTTATGAATCATAATAATAGGACTTCCAATTTTATAACATACTTTATTGATTTTTGGGTTAATTGCAATGTTTCTTAAATTTCTGCTAATTGTAAGAAATGACATTCTATTTTTATACTTATTATTTAAATGCATTGCCGGTAAGACGAAAACTATTAATCGCTAATACTCAAACCACATTTGTTTTACTTATGGAGGTCTGGCTGTATTCTTTACAAAGGATCCTGTGGTATTTTCTGGTGATTAGAGTTTGAATGATAATTTCTGTTGAGTTGAGAAAAGACAGCTGAAGATTCTTAATGTAAAATTTAAAAAGACACTGTACATGTTAGTAATTGTGTAACACGACTGTTATTTCTTGCTGTGGGAACAAAAGCCTTCTGTTTATGTCCACGAGCCGGTTGCAGTAACTCAGCGACGTAACTACCGTGTAAGTGCTATTATTGTTATTCTACTTCCCGAAGAACTTCAACTTTTTCATACATCTTTAATTGCGTGAGACTTCTCCTCTCTATTGATAAGAAAGTGAGAATGTGTTTTATTCTCATTAACACAACATTAACGTTTCTGTCATCATTAACGATATTAATAATTTCTTTCCTCCTCAAACTTGCATCATCGAAGCTAGTTATAAATTAGTTTGAAACTTTGAGCTGTTTGTGGTAATTATTTCGTAGAATATTTAAAACTATAAAATCGTGTTTGGGCAACAAGCATTGTAATTGAAATCGATTAGGCGTAATTCATGTATGAATTTCGAAGGTACACTACAATACTTGTCTTCGAGTTAAACAGTAAGCAAGTGAATTAACTAACAAAACAAAAAAACTTAACGACTATATTGATTACTAGTAATTTTGGGCGCGTCAACTCTTAAGATCAAACAAAAATATTCACGAAATTTAAGTTGATAAGAAAAAAATGGATTATCTTTGTCGTTTTCAGCTTTGAAAAGACGTATTTTTGATGTATTATTTTTAAGGCTATATGTTCACTTTCATTTGATTAATTGATTCTTCGTGATGCCGGGAGCGTCAACTACTAAAGTCATTAGTCCGATAAGTGTAGTGCATGTTTTTTCTTGGGAGGTGGGGCTGATCTTACCCGCAGGATGGTGAGATCCGGCACCGACCTACCGTCGCCTAGCGGGGTTTCCCCAACCAGGTATCTCCCACCAGCGGGTCACCACCCCAGCCGGAACAAACTCCAAGCTCCCGACCGGCCTCCCGGCATGTGTGGTAGTGCAGTGCACTGCGTGTTAGTGTAAGTGGGTGTAAAGGGTGAGGATAGGACAAGGAAGAGAAAGGAAATATCGCGCGCGGTCCGTGGTCCGTTTGTTAGGAAACTGCTCCGGCATTCGCCCGGTGTTGATCGGTGAAACCGCTGAAAGCCACCGATCAGAGCAGCTGACCGCTAAAATTCTCTTCCAAACATCGGCTGAATTCGACCTAGCAATCTAGCTCGACCCCGGGACCTCCCGGTGGCACTGCAGTGACAGTAGTTGATGCCCTGGACCAACCCATCCGGTGTCGGTTATAAGGGGAACGGTCCATATGAGGATGGGGAGCCCTGAGGATGAGAGTGGAGCGGGACCGAGAAGGAAGGATCGCACCTTTAGCGACCAACTGCATAGGGTGTTGCTCCGACTTTTATCCGAAAGTAGTCAGATGCAACATAAAATTCAAAGTCCACTCAGCAATCTGAGATCAAACCCGCTATATTTCAGACAGTGACGCTCCCTGTCATTAATTTACCATGACTCGCGTGGCTACCGATGTGACAATCATTTAAGCTTCAAAAAGTAGTTATCAAATTTCTAAATGTCATGAATGAAATCCAGAATTAAAGACATATTTCAAAATTAGTTGAATTATTTTAAAATTACCCAGCAGTAAGAAGTGCTAGTTGGATTAAACAGAAACCTCGGTTTTTAAGCAGTTTTTAAAATAAATTAACCAACATGCAAAAACACTAGTTTGAAAGCAATTTTCCTTTTAATTAAGGAGTTATTTCGAACAGTTGCTGCAGGACGTGTACCACCTTGCACTGGAACGTGAGGCCCAAGGTTTTGCGCCAGTGGCTCGTTGACCTCTCCGGATGCGGCGGGTCAATAGCGGCCGCCACCCGATTTAGATCGGCGACGGCCTTCCAGACGGGCGCCCGCAGACGTCGGCACGCCCCACTTTTATGCAATGACTCGCAGTCGATGAGTCAGAGGCAAATCCGAAGGGGAAGGGTTAGGGTGGATTACTTCCTTACTAGAAACCTTACTGCCTAAACGTGGGAGCATAAAATACTAACAGGGAAAAGGTTACGATGTATTACTTTCTTACTAAAAACCTTACTCCCTAATCGTGAAAGCAAAAAATATTAATAGGGAGACGGTTAGGGTGTATTACTTTCTCACTAAAAACCTTACTCCCTAATCGTGAAAGCAAAATATATTAATAGGAAGACGGTTAGGGTGTATTACTTTCTCACTAAAAACCTTACTCCCTATTCGTGAGAGCAAGAATTCCTAAAATGTTAATAATAAAGAAGAAACGCAGGGCTTATTTATTAAATTATTCTTTTGACTCGCAGTTAAATACTAAAATTATGACCGGTGGATTCCAACTTGTTATAAAATTTAATGCGAGCGCTAACACACAAACACATGTAGTACACGCACAAACACATGTAAATAATACGCATACAATGGATTCATTGTCGTAACGGGCGCGAATATTTATCTCCTCCATACTTGTGACTTAATTATTATTTGCAAGACGGGCACGGAAAGGCGTTCTGCGCTCATCGACAGCAGTAGACATAATTGCGTGATCCAATAGAGCGGTGATGATGTCATTTCTTTCTGGCCTAAATAACGTCACTTTGTCTTCGTTCTATATTTTGGTGTTTTCCGTCATTATCCGAAATTATTTTCGTATCCTCCCGCTGGTCCGCTCTTTAGAACACCCCCTTGCCGAAACTTGTTTCTGATGGTGTAGGGCAATTGTCCCTCTCTCTGAGCGTGCATAGATCGTAGAGTGTAGTTCGTTGGGGATTCGCAACGGCACACGAACGAAGCCCTGTCACCACCTACACTGACGGAAGGGGGGAGGACAGGTCGTGGTATAAAGCCAAGCGCAATTTCCTCTCCTCCGCTGAGTCCCGGGTTCGAACTTAATTCCATGTGAAACTTGTGATAGGCAAAGCAGGCCTGATACCTATTAGTTTCGCTTCAGCCTAAATCAGTGCGTAATGTAAACACTTTAATCTACTAGCAGTGCACAATAAAATAAATTGAAAAAAGTATAGAAGTCTATGAAAACTAATTATTATATTAAAATAACAATGTTGAACACCATTGAATATATAAAAATGATTTAATTTTTTACACATCATAATTTATCTGGATCAAGAGGATCGTGGTTATGAGGTAAATATGAAAACAATTGAATGGTACTACATTTATCTTGCGGAGGGAATAAGGGAAACATGAAAAGACAAACTGAGTCACGTTAGCTATTTAAATAGTAAATAAGTAAATCTGAATTAATAAAATTAGGTAAAAAATAAAATTATGTATGTACCACGGGCGTTCACTGCTTCTATGACAGAGCGGCGACTCGTGCCAAAGACCCTCGGGTCTTTTGTTGCCACTCGATCATTAGAACATTTATAGCGCCCTTGGTATCAAAATTACTATTTTTCCTCGGATTGGATATGAAGAAATCCCGAGAAACCGTGAGTATTTTGCTAGTACCACCTGACGAATGGCTCTCGCTCGGTGTTGCAGGAGGAGCTGTCCGAGTTCGAGGCAGAGGCAGAGGCAGGCGCAGCGATGGCGTACGTGCAGCCGCCGCCCCCGCCGCCGTCGGCGTCCACCGCCGCCGCGCCCGCCGCCAGCCCGGGCCCCATCGCCGACTTCTTCCGCGGGCGCGCCGTGCTGGTCACCGGCGCCACAGGCTTCATGGGCAAAGTGCTGGTGGAGAAGCTGCTGCGTTCGTGCCCCGAGGTGGCCACCGTCTTCCTGCTGATGCGGCCCAAGCGCGGCCAGGACGTACGCTCGCGCCTCGACCAGCTCATGGCCGCCACGGTGAGGATCACGGGCCTTCTCGCACGTATTTGCACGCGAAAGTACGCCAAAAGCTGTCGAAACGTTTTCGAAAAACTGCACATGGCGTTATTTCAAAATGTATCTTTAAGGAACAGATTTTATTTTGGGAAGAATATCTATCTTTAATATTTAGTTCTTGGAAGAATTTTGAAGTTTTGCAATTTAAAAAAAAAGTGAGTTTTCAACGGTGAGACCTGCGCCATTCTCTTAAAAGTCCTTTGCACTCTCCAACATCAAAATTTAATAAAAAATGATGGAGAATTTTTTTTAGTTTTGAAAATGTCCCAGGAACTTTATGTAAAGTACCCTAGAAATATTAAAATATCGGTTTCATGTAGATGGAACCACGACATCAACGAGAAGGATTGTCAAAAATCGACTGAACGGTTTAACCGCTATCATTGTTCAGACGGACAGACAGACAACAGGACGAACGGAGTTTCCTTTTACTCCGTAGCGACAAAGAAATGGCCCTCTTAATGCGCACACTCTCGTTTACAATTTAAATATATGGGAAATATTAATTGTTTAGTAGTTCATGTAGAATATTTCATCTGGAATGTAGAGTTTTAGAATATTTTGTGACGTCATTATTTAGGGTCATTACAAATCTGGTGCGGGTAAGTTTGGACTTACTGTTAATACAGTAAGATACACCTGTGATAATTCACAGGTGAAAAATAGCGTAATGAGCACGACTGAATGGCTATCTTAAGAGATCCTTTTCATGACCAAACTGTGGGGTCACCTTATTGAACTGAAATATTAAAAATATGTAATAAGTTGCTATTTGCAAAACCTATAACAAATTAAAATGTAATATTAGAAATTGTTTAAACATTTTTAAACTCTAAGGTAGTGAAATAATACTCGTGTATTATGACACTGCTTACGCATTAATCATCTATTTGTCATGAAAATCCCGTAAGAAGACTCCTTCTTTGAGTTTCTGCTCGGAATATTCTTAAGGAGGATCATTAAGTCTAGGAAGGTGGATCAGGATATCTCTCGCCACAGACTTGTGTGTCAGGGCCAGGGCAAGGTGCTATGACTTCTGCCTCCCATGAAAGACATTTTCTGTGGAAAATATGCACCGGATTCTTGAAATTTTTCCTAAATGTTTTCCTTAATGAGTATGCTGAAAATTGTTTATGTATTATTAGGTATCTGGTTACAATGTTTACCATACATATACATGAATATCATAGTTAATACATTGAATACAAATATCGAGTATATTACCCTCCAAATAAACTCCACGTTCTTAAAGTTTGAAAGTAGTAATGTCCATAGATAAATTCAAACTTTTCAAAACTAAATCGGATTTGCTTAAAAAAAGTAAAAACTGCATATCGGAGAGAAGTTGCGTTTAATTTTCATAACTAAAGAAAGGGAACAGTCAACATTTGCTCTTTGAATCAAGAGAAACAAAACGGAATGACAAAACTAAATGATAAGTTAAGACTCAGAAGCTGATTAGAGTAGTTACAGGCGTATGTTCTTATTTGTGTTGCAATTTTGTAATTTACAAATGTATTAATTGATAAATCATCTTATAAAAATATTATTTTAGCTGTTGATTAATATAGTCCCTAGTTGTACAAATTTTGTATAAGTTTCGTACAAGAATGAATGTTTCGGCTCGAGGCACTTAGAGAATGTTTGGAGAACGGCAGTTGTTCTCCGCCCAAGCGTGAATGTACACTGGACGCAGTCGTGACTTTACAGCAGCCACTCTGAATGAGTGCGCTTGAGGTGACGCCCTTGTTGAAGATGTCCAAAAGCACAAGTAGGAATGACTCACGAAAACGTTTAACAACGGCGGGTGGGAAATTGCTGACACACTTTTTTCGTGGTTTTAATTTTTGGCGCATTTTGTAGTATACACAATAGTTTTGTTTATTTAACGAATGTGAATGAACCCGTTGCCGAGAAATTTGAATAAGAAAAACTTCTAGTATATCTATGTTACAATCATTTTCTTCTGTAAAAAGATATCTACCTTTAATATTTATAATTCAAATAATATTTCACACAAAATACGAGTACATACTCATAGATCCATTACTATAAGACTCATTCCAACTATCGTTGCTTCCATTTCCTAGCCTGTGCCACCTGCACCTCTCCCTCTTGCCACCTTTCCATGGATAAAGTTCAAAGCCCCTACTCAGCTAATGTTAATACCCGCGAGTAGAGATGGGCTTTTAAATGAAATACCTTTCTTTATCTCCGCAATTTTGCAAAAGAAGCTGAGAGTAGTCTCTGGAGGTGTTGCAAAGCTATTCCTCCTTACTCCTCGGGGGGAGAAGTATTTCCCCACAAGGAACGTGACTCCGAGGGCTCCCTCTCATTCGCGGGAGGAGTATTATTATTAGGAGCGTGAAGGGAATCGCTGATGTCTTCGCAACTGTTCTCAGACTTAGGAGTCTAACTTACGATTCTCAGCATCCGTTTGGCTCCGTAGATTATACGAACATTTGGTATCAATCTTCATCTGTGATTGTGTGTAATGATAGCCGAATATCCGGTGAAAAGTGCCCCCAAACCAAATCAATAATCGTGATGCTCATATGAAAGAGAATAACAAATGCCGTAGATCCCAAAACAATCAGCCTCCTAGGGCCATCTGCTGCAGAAATACGAGATACGTATTTTTCATGATTTATTTTTCTCAGCTTCTCTTGCATGTATCAAAAAAATTGCAGAAATGTATCAGAAAATAGTTGAATTTGAAGGCATTTTGTCAATTCATTTTGACGCCAAATTCAAATAGAAAAAAGTTCAAAATTGTTTTGAATCGACGTGAAAACGTTAGAGTACTGTTTCAGTTTTCTCCCTAAAATGTGTCTTATAACATTCTTTATCATATATTTTTTTCAGATTTTTAAACAATGTGGACAAAAGTGAAACAAATTTAAACCATTTTTACCAGTTTAAAAATTTGAAATTCGCGCCAAAATGTGAATAAAAAAGTTCACCAATGTTTAAACAATTTATCTAAATTATCAAAACATTTAAATTATTGAAAATCCTAAACTATCAGCATGATTCACTACTTGACATTTTGACAAAAATACCTTCCGATTAAACTATATTTCTCCATCTGGGAATTTTTTTTCAACCTGATACAGGGAATGGTAGCTGAGAGAGAAAAACAAAACGTCAAAAACACGTTTCTCATTGTATCTTTGCAACATATTGCTCTAGAAGCTGATTTTCGGGAATCTAAGTCATTTTTCACTCTTTTTCACACGAGCATCGCGATTATCGATTTGATTTGGGGGCACTTTCCACCGCCTTATTCGGTCGCATCCTTTACATGACGCGAAAGCGTTACTCTGGGCATTAGTCCCATAAGTGAAGTGCGTGGTATTTACATAGAGGTGGCGGCGTTCCTCTTCCACTGCAATGTGAGTTTGGCGCCGAGCTACACATTGGCTTCACGTTGGCTTCACGTTGGCTTCACGTTGGCTTCACGACGGCTTCACGTTGGCTTCACGTTGGCTTCACGTTGGCTTCACGTTGGCTTTACACTCCCAGTACCTCTCCCAACGAGGCATCGCCCCATGAGGGCAAGGTCTAAGCTCCCGTGCAATGTGTGATTGGGTCGTGCATGCCAGGGTGTGTGTGTGTAAAAGTGGAGGAAAGAGAAAGGAAAGATCGCACGAGGTCCGTGGCCGACTAGTTAGGATAGTGCTCCGACATTCTCCTTGTATCGATCGAAGAAACGGAAAACTTCCGATCAGAACAGCCGACTGCTAAAATTCTTCTCCAACAGTAGTTTTACACGACTTAGATATGAACCGCGTGATAAATCCATCGCCGTCAGATGTCAACCCCCAGAACCTCCTGGGGAACGATGCTGCACCGGCGTTGGCACGGAGCTGTCGCAGCCTGTTGAGCACCCGCGGGAAGAGAAAGGTAGTGTCGGCCTTATCGCCCCTGCTTCACTGATAGCGCTGGCGGAAACAAGACGAGACATCCGCACAGACGTAGGGCCACAAGGAGGGGAAAGTTTCCCCCTGCCACTTTTCGTGCAAGCTGTTCAGCAGATTTTGCTGCCGTTTTCTTGAAAATGACAGCTTTAGCATCTGTCCGTTACTCAGACTGTCTTGCAGAAATTAACGGCTCTCCTTGGAGAGTTCCGTTAGGGTCTTTCCGTGTTTTTTTTTCTCTCGAAGTGTGTTCTAATCGTATGTTTACTTTATTCTGTTCGCAGATTTGAATGGTAAATGGGTTCATCACAATCATTATCCTTATCCATTTTTTGAAGTTAAAACTCGTTCGAAAGATTTCTGCTAAGATTTTGCGCAAAATCTTAATTTATATTGTCCTTCGGAACAAAAGTTCAAACTAGTTCGTGAAATATATATA